CTTTGTGAGGGTGCAGCCATTAGTGTTCTGCTGCACTTAACAAGATATATAGTCCTATTTAAGTGTTAAGTGTTGCTAATTGCCTTGGATCATCACCATTAATTTCTGCATCCTTTCCTCAAAACATTTAATGCCGGATTCTAGCTTTGAGAAGCTCGGTGGTTAGTGCGGCCCCGCTTTAAAGCAACAGCTCTTCAATTTCTTGTTTTAATAAGTCACTTTGCTCATTGCTTGCAATGAAGCAAAATAGTATTGGAATTGGAAACAAGTACAGTTTTGTAGGGTGGGATTCCCACCCGGCATGTTGCCGATACTCTGAAAGTTGGGAAATGTCCAGCTTCCTGGGCCTCGTCACCTGCAGCAGTCATTTGACGAACTCCCAAGAGAATAGCAGAGAAGCCTTCCTGTACCCTTGGGATGGGAGTGGTGGAAAGTGCCCTCAAGTCACAGCTGACCTGTGGCGACTCTGTGGGGTTTTCAAGGCAACAGGCATTCAGAGGAGGTTGGCCATTGCCTGCTTCCATGTCACCCGACCCTGGTGTTCCTCAGAGGTCTCCCAACCAGAGGTCATTTCGGGGGGGATCGCGGGGGATCGCAGTTCCCCCGGGTGAGGTACGGGGGGCGGGGCACACGACGAAGCCCCGCCCCCTGCTTCCGGCCGCCCCGCTTCCGGCCCTCATTCAGCCAGGAGGAGGCAGGAGAAGAGGGAGGGTAAGTTGCTTCCTCCCTGCCTCTCCCCCGGCCGGGGGCGGGGTGTGTGGCCTTATGACACACTTCCGGTGATGTCAGGGGGTGTGGCATATGCTAATGAGTTATGCTAATGAGTTTCCCTAGCTCTTTTTCTACGAAACGACCCCTGCTCCCAACCAAATAGTAGCCAGGGGCCAACTCAGCTTCTGAGATTTGATGCGATCGGGCCAGCCTGGGCTATCAAGGTCAGGGCACCCTTGGGATATCTCACTCTTATTCCAGAAAGGCATCCGGGTTTTGCTGATGTTGGCAGGATGAAGCAGTAAGGCTGGATGGTTAGTGCAGAAGGGGGCCTCATTGGATCTGAGTTCTTCTCCATTAAAAAGGAACAACAGGTATCTGAATGAAAACACACTAGCCCTGAATTTCCTCTCAGATTGTTATATGTAGGCTTCCCCCCCCCCCCGTGTGTGTGTGTGTGGGGGGGCGCGCAGTGGGGGAGCATTCCATCATGTGAGCTCTTGCCTGTGCACTAAAGTGGTACAATCCAGTCATGGGTTTACTAGCTCCTCTGCCATTTAGGGAAACTTGTGAGCTAACCGTATGTTTCACGTACCCATACAACAGAATCTTCATATAGTTTGTTTGTTTCAGAGAAGTTTAGCACCAAAGGGGGAGATTTAGAGTTGAGAAGCATCCCATGATACCACTCCACTCCCGATTGTCCACTCCTTAAGCTGCACCTCTTCTTTTTAAAAAAATAATGTTTGGAATCGGATAAGTTTGCATGAAACGTGTAGTTAGCCCCCACTGTTGCTGCCAAAATGCCCTTGGAGAAAGGCTGCTTTTGGTCTGGACTGGTACGGTTCTGTAGACCTTGTAATGGGGCGTCAGTAGCCGGGATCAGGCTTGCCCCCCCCCCCCCCCCCCCCCCCTCCCTAGCCCACACTAAAGAAGCTGCTCACTGATCACAGTTGCATCAGGATCATGGGGGCCCAATCCAATTTGCGTCATAGCTGCAAGCAGATGAATCATTTATTCTCCCCCCCCCCTTTCCCTGGCTCTGCTCTTCCTCTTGCTTAGGAAAGATTTATTAAGTTTATTTTTGTTCAAGATATTTATACCCTATGGTTTTATCTCTATGGCTTCACAAAACAACTGGCAATAAGTTAAAAATGACGTGATAATAATGCAAAAATGGGACACGGTGACAGATTTTAGCAGGATGCCTTAGCAAATCGTTCTTCCCTCTAATAAAGTGAGCACTGTAAATGTCCATAGCCAATTTAATGAACCACAAACTTGGGTAGGAGCCTGCTCATTCAAGAGGGAGGGGCAATTCTACTTTCCCTTCTTTTATTGATTTTTTGTTATTTGAAACATTACAAAAATCTTTTTACACTTTTGCACAGCACTCCCCCTCCCCATGCAATGTTCTGTGCTGTTTCCTGTGGTCTTCCATCCCTTGGGACCTACTGCTCAGGCAGTGCATTGGGCTGCAGGCAAGAAAGACATAGTTCACAAAGGGGCTTGGCACAGTTTAGATCCATGCCAGGATGGAGTGCTTGCAAGACCCTTTGATTTCAACCTTTGCCGCATCTGTTGAAACCAGTGGGATTTAAAGGCGCCCCTTGCATTTTTTCTCATGCAGCACAGTGCATCAATTTTAACTGGTGAATTCGTGCCAGTCAAGTCCATCTGCTAGATTTTTCTGAGCTCCCTCCCCTGTTTTTAAAAGCTTGCTTTGCACATTGGGGGAAGGGAATGTTAGAGATGCAGGGAAAAAATGTATGTGTAAAAGCAAGCAAACCAATTCTGTTGTTTGGAACTTTTTGTAGAAGAGCAAATGGATACCACTGGAAGTCTGGCCAGGCTGGCCTGGGCCTGCAGCCCCAGTTGTCGCAAAACAAAGGGAACACTGCAAAGGTAAGAGCATTGCTGCGATTCTAGGTAGGCTCCAAGAATTTGGCCACCTAGCTAATTTTTCATAATGATGATGTTAAAAAAAAGAGATGATGCATTTTTCCCCATCCCATGTGTCCCCCTTAAAAAATGAATGGCAGAGTGTATAGAAATATTATTTCTAAATTCTCATGCCTTCTTCCTGTGGTGACATTCTGATATTCTGTGTGTCTTTTCCTGTTGCAGGCCAGATGGCCTAGTGTGATTTCTGTCACTTGACCAGATGGCTGAAACACCAAATAGCCATGCCATATAATCATGCCAGATACCCACATTCCTTAACACCTCTCTGTTGAGAGCCAGACTTGAAGGCTCCGCTTGTATGGCCTACATGGGCCATGTCACGTACACAATGGAGAAAGCTGGAAGTTGGATCACCTGACTGCATGCAGGGCCTCTAACTTCTTAGCCAATCCCCACACACCTGATGTGGCAGCTATGGCAACCAGAAATTGGGCACACACCCCTGCCGCTCGTGATTGGCTGATGGCCACAGCTGAGAGTGACTGGCATGGGGTATAACTCCGTGGTTCTTTAGGGAAGAGCTCTCTTGCTCTCTCTTGCTCCTGGAATCCTGACTTTTGAAACAAAGAGCTTCTTTGTGAACTGATTGCCAGTTGCCAACCCTCTGTTATTGTGGATCTGTATCTCTGAGCAATCCTGGACTATCTACCTGCACAAGATGGGATTTCTCTTCAAAATCCCTTGGTGCCAACCTGTACTGTTATGCAATGGACACTCTTGGACTATCTGATGCTACACTTAACTCGGTAACTATAATTATTATTAATGTGCAGTAAGGGCAAATAGCCATAGGTTGTTATTATTTTTTGTATCCTCCATTAGTCTCTTGTTATGCTTTGCACTGAATAAAGATCATTCATATTTGTAATTGTCTCTGATGCGGTAATTGAACTCCAGGGCTAAATCTTGTGTCTAAGCTGACCACAGAGAGCTACCATTGTGAGCGTAATTGTGTGCATCTCTGAGTTAGAGTTGCTGATGTGTTAAGTCCCAGATGCCAGCTAAGAGATTGAATCTCTGATCTTAGGCTGGGTGAAGAGATTCTGGTGGCAAACTGTTGTGAATCCTAGAGAGAGAGTACAGACTGTCTCGTGGATTTTATTTCATGTGCTGAGATATAGGGTTCCCTCTCACCCCTGGACTGGGCTGAGTGGGTTTAATCCTGTACACAGAGAAATATGTCTTCCTATACAGAAAGACTGATTCTGCAACCATCTGTTTCCTTGCAGTTTTTCCACAGCCCCGTTGGGAGGTTAATCTCCCTCTACACTACATTCCACTTTCATTTTATTTGTTCATTGGGTTTTATGGTACCTTCTGCATAGATTTATGGCTGTTCAGGGGTGACTTCTCAGTCAGTATAGTGTTGCCTCAGGGTATCTGAATATGGGTTTGAGTGGCACCTTTTCCTTCCTCCACTTCCAATTGGAAGGGAACAATAAGCAGACAACTTGACAGGGCTTCATTGATCTCCATCAGTTCCCCCACCCCTGTTTCCCCCTCTATATTTATCACCTCACCATGAATTACTTGCCTCAGGCTGCTAATGCCTAGTGAGGCAAGTACTGACACAGGAAAATCTGCATACCAATGCAGGAGTGAGCAGTGAAAACAAAATAGATGACAAGCTGACACTAGCCAATTAAGGAAACCAGGATCTGAGGCAATGCTATGAAAACAGTTATTCTGAGACAAGGGGGAACCAGGTGGAGTGCTGAGAAAATTTGAAGTGAATACCAGATGCAGAATGGACCAAAGCTTGCTTTGGAGTCAGTATTGTAAAAGGAATACAAGTCTGACTTAGTTAACTCAGTTAGTCTAACTCAGTTAAAAGCCTTGGGGGGTCATACCAGATCCAGCTTTCTTACTGGAGAAGCAAGTTAATGCAGCTGCAAAAAAAGTCTTTCTTCCAACTCGGCCCAGCCCATAAAATGGCCTCATACCTTGATACACCTGGCCTGGCCATCTGGATCTACACCACAGTAACATCGAGACTAGACTACTGTAATGCTGTGTATGTTGGTCTCCCCTCAGAAATCAGTTTGGAAATTCCAACTGGTCCAGAGTGCTGCAAACTGGCCTTCCGCAAACTATGCAAAACTGAACTATTCAGGAGTGCATTTTTGCAGACATAATAAGGCTGCACAGTACAAAATGGTTTCACAAACTTACTTGGATACATGATTGGGCCTTGTGGCATAATTAGGATCCTATTATGTAATTTCTGTACCACTTTGTCATATTAACACTTATGCTATGCTTCTGTTCTTTCTGGTGGGCTTCTAGTCTTCTAATATCCTAACGTATTAGTTATTGAATATCCCATTTTGTTGGTTATATTGACTCACTATGCGTAATCTGCCTTGAGTCCCTGTGAGAAAGGCAGACTATAAATAATGTAAACCAACAGATAAATGAAAAGGTTTTGCTTTGTTCTCTTGTGGAATTTCATGATGGCAACTCAGGTAGATTTTTTTTTTTTTGCGCTCACTAAAAGGGCTTCAGAACTGCTGCAGCTTCATGCTTCTGCATGCCTGTTGAAGGATTCCATTGTGTGTGGCTTTGGCTTTAGTTTTGTCTTTGGAGGGTTGTGTTTATTTCCTTGCCACTCTACCGTTCTCCACCAGCTGCTGTTGAATTTATACCATGAAACATGAGATTGTGCAAAGTTCTTGTGTATGCAAGGCCAGCAGCATGTGTGTGTGTGGGGGGGGGTAAGTGCTTGTTTTTCATGTCAGATGTTCTAAATAATATTTCCTCTCTCCAGTCTTAGGCTGACTTCGTTGATGGCTTTGGAGGATTTTTAAGAATCCATGTTGCCTTTTTTAAAAAGAAAAAAAAAAACCTGTTTGTACTGAGTGTGAATATGATTTGGAACAATTTGCTGGACAAAATGGTTCAGGGGGGAAAAGTTTGCATGACCTTGGGGTACGATTGAAGGCTTGAACTGCTGTTATTGTTTTTACCCAAAATTTGGTATTGCTGTCAAGAAATCCAGAATGCGATAATAAGAATCCATCCTATTGAAAGCACAACCCCTTCTTCCTTTTTTTCTTTCAACAGATTTCTTCAGGCAAAGTAAAGTTGAGAGTACTTAAGGAACAAACTCAAGGTAATGAATTGTCAGTATTTAAAAATTATTGACCAAATATGAGAACTTGGGTTACATGTTACTTTGGGCTTTTTGGGACACTTTGGTTGAGGAATACCCTGGAGAATTGTGGCCATCAGAGGGAGTGGGGGCAGCAGATGGAGGCTGAAGTTAGTTCCTTATTCCCAGTTCCTTATTCATTCCTTAAAGGTAAAGGTAAAGGTTCCCTTGCTCGAAAGCCAGTCGAATCCGACTCTAGGGTTGCGGTGCTCATCTCCGTTTCAAAGCCAAAGAGCCAGCGCTGTCCGAAGACGTTTCCGTGGTCATGTGGCCGGCATGACTAAAGGCGCACGGAACGCTGTTACCTTCCCACCAAAGTGGTCCCTATTTATCTACTTGCAGTTTCTTGCTTTCGAACTGCTAGGTTGGCAGGAGCTGGAACTAGAGACGGGAGCTCACTCCGTCATGCGGCACCTGGGTCTTGAACTGCTGAACTACCAACCTTCCACAGCCTGCAGTTCAGTGTCTTAACCACTTGAGCCACCGCAGCTCCTGTTATTCGTGTCTTATCCGTGAATTCATCCAAAAACACTGAAGAGAGTTTGAAAGCTCTGAACCCCAAAATAAGATTTGGACCCCCAAACTTAATACACCCCCACGTTTAGCAAACTCTCCTTTTTGAGGGGGCATATGCCGTGTCCTAGTCCAAAGTGCAGTTCTTGTGCCGCTGCTCCAAAGTGAGGTGCCTCCAGGACAATCACACAGGCAATCACTGGGGCCAAGCTGCACCCCAAAACAATCTTTGGACCACCCCAAATGACACGTCACCATGCTCTGGAGACTATCCCCTGCAAGATGACATACAGTGAAGCCCAGTCCAAATACTGGTTCTGGAGCCACAGGCTTCTATTTCGGTTGCCCCCAAGAAACCTGTATTTAAAAAAAAAAAAATTGAATAAGGAACTGGTTTGACTGTTTGCCCACTGCATTCTGGAATAAGGTTTGGACTGCCACACATCATACATCTCCATGTTCAGTGAACTCTCCCCTTTGAGGAGACATATGCTGTGTCCTGGTCCAAAGGGTGATTCTTGTGCCAGCTGCTCCAAAGTGAGGTGCCCCAGGGAGGTCACACAGGCAGACAGTAGGGCCTGACTGCACCCCAAAACAATCTTTGGACCACCCCAACTGAAACATCCCCACGCTCTGAAGACATACATGCAAGATGACATACAGTGATGCCCGGTCCAAACACTGGTTCTGGTGCCATGAGCTTCTATTCGGAGTGCCTCCCAGAGGCCTGTATTTCAAAGAAGATTTAAATAAGGGAGTTCCCTCTGCACCCAAAATGAGGTTTGGACCCCCACACTTCATACATCCCCATGTTCAGCGGACACTCTCATTCCAGGAGACATATGCTGTGTCCTGGTCCAAAGCGCGGTTCTTGTGCCAGCTGCTCCAAAGTGAGGTGCCCTCATGGCAGTCACACAGGCAGACACTGAGGTGAGGCTGTACTCCAAAACAATCTTTGGACAGTTTGGACCACGCCAACTGACATATCACCATGCTCTGGAGACTGTCCCCTGCAAGAAGACATGACCTTCTATTTGGAGTTCCTCCCAGAAGATTTGAATAAGGAATGGGGGGAACCTTTTCCAGTGCACAGACAGCCCCCCCAATCTCAAACTACTCATCACCTTCAATAATAGAGCATCTAATTTAAACATGTAGGCTGGTACCAGAGCTTGCAACGCACCCTGATGCCAACTTTGCTGTGCATACACCCAGACGACACAATCACTGGACCTAACAACAGGGGTCCGTAGCCTGGGGCGCGAGAGGTGCTGTTCCCAAGGCCACGGCCGAGGGATTAAGGCTCCTCTTTGCCCCAGCAGGTCCCACCGCTGCGAGACCAGCAATGGCGACGGAAATGCACACCGGGACAGGCGAACAGGAGATCAAGCACTTTAAAGGTCTCCCTACCTTACTGAAGCAAGCAGCTGATGAAGAGTGAGTCCATATGCTGGGACAAAAATCTAAGTGGACAGCTTCCCTCAACCCCTTAAATTCAAAATCAGAGGGAACTAAGAGGTGGAAGGGGGGGGGAAGCTGATTGAAAAGTGTTGTTTAGCACAAATAGAGTGCTGACTGGTTAAAAAGTGTGATTGAATAAGCCCACAGAGACTTCTTTGAACTTTCTCTTAATGAACTGTTCAAGGTCCCGGAGGGCCCTGATGTCCTCCGGGAGCTCATTCCACCAGTATGGGACCGCCATAGAAAAGGCCCTGGCCCTTGTCACAGCTAGCCTGGCTTCTTTAGGGCCTGGAAAGGCCAGGTGGTGTTGGGACCCCAATCTTAGTGCTCTCTGGGGAACATGTAGGGAGAGGCGGTCCCTCAGGTAAGCAGGTCCCTGACCATATAGGGCTTTAAAGGTAATAACCAGCACCTTGACATGTGGGGGTCCAATTTTTATTTTGGGTGCAGGGGGCGCTTCCTTATTCAAATCTTCTTTGTAATACATGCCTCTGTGAGGCACTCCAAATAGAAGGTTATGGCGCCAGAACAAGTATTTGGACCAGTCATCTCCTTGTAGGGGATAGTCTCCAGAACATGCTGATGAGCCCTTTAGGGTGGTCCAGTGGTTTTTTGGGGGTACAGCTTGGCCCCAGTGTTTGCCTGTGTGATTGTCCAGGGGCACCTTACTTTGGAGCAGCTGGCACAAGAACTGCACTTTGGACCAGGACATAGCATATGTTTCCTCAAAGGAGAGAGTCTGCTGACTATGGGGGTGTATGAACTGTGGGGGTCCAAACCTCATTTTCGGTGCAGAGGGCACTTCCTCATTCAAATATTCTTTGAAATACAGATCTCTGGCAGGTACTACAAATAGAAAGTCATGGCACCAGAACCAGTGTTTGGACCAGGCATCACTGTATGTCATTTTCCAGGGGACCGTCACCAGAGCATAGGGATGTGTCAGTTGGGGTGGTCCAAAGATTGTTTTCGGGTGCAGCCTGGCCCTAGTATCTGCCTGTGTGATTGTCCTGGGGGCATCTCATTTTGGAGCAGCTGGAACAAGAACTTTGGACCAGTACACGGCATATGTCAACTCGAAGGGCAGAGTCCGCTGAACACGGGAGTGTATGACATGTGGGGGTCCAAACTTTATTTTCGGTGCAGAGGGAACTTCCTCATTCAAATATTCTTTGAAATACAGATCTCTGGGAGGAACTCAGCATAGAAGGTCATGGTGCCGGAACCAGTGTTTGGACCGGGCATCACTGTATGTCATCTTGCAGGGGACAGTCTCCAGAGTGTGGTGATATGTCAGTTGGGGCGGTCTTAAGATAGTTTTGGGGTGCAGCCTCGCCCCAGTGTCTGCCTGTGTGATTGTCCTGGGGCACTGCGCTTTGGAGCAGCTGGCACAAGAACCGCGCTTTGGACCAGGCCACGGCATATGTTCCCTCAAAGGGGAGAATCCGCTGAACATGTAGGTGTATGAAATATGTAGGTCTAAACTTCATTTTGGGTACAGAAGGGTCTCCCTTATTTAAATCTTCTTTGAAATTGAGGCTTTTGGGAAGCACTCCGAATAGAAGCTCATGGTGCCAGAACCAGTGTTTGGACCGGGCATCACTGTATGTCATCTTGCAGGGGACAGTCTTCAGTGCGTGGGGAGGTTTCAGTTGGGGTGGTCCAAAGATTGTTTTGGGGTGCAGTCAGGCCCTGTTTTGGGGTGCAGTCAGGCCCCACTGTTTGCCTATGTGACTTCCCTGGGGGCACCTGACTTTGGAGCAGCTGGCACAAGAACCACCCTTTGGACCAGGACAGAGCATATGTCTCCTCGAAGGGGAAAGTTCACTGAACATGGAGGTGTATGGCGGTCCAAACCTCATTCCGGGATGTAGTGGGCAAACAGTCAAACCAGTTCCTTATTCAAATCTTTTTTTGAAATACAGGCTTCTTGCATGCACCTGAAATGGAAGCCTGTGGCTCTGGAACCAGTGTTTGGACCGGACACCACTGTATGTCATCTTGCAGGGGGCAGTTTCCAGAGTGTGGGGATGAGTCCTTTGGGGTGGTCCAAAGATTGTTTCGGGGTGCAGCCTCGCCCCAGTATCTGCCTGTGTGATTGTCCTGGGGGCGCCTCACTTTGGAGCAGCTGGCACAAGAACTGCACTTTGGACCAGGACACGGCATTTGTCCCCTCGAAGGGGAGTGCCCGCTGAACCTGGAGGTGTTTGAAGTTTGAGGGTCCAAATCTTATTTTGGGGTTCAGAGCTTTCAAACTCTCCTCAGTGTTTTTGGATGAATTCATGAATAAGACGCGAATAAGGAATGATTAAGGAACTGAGAATAAGGAACCAACTTCAGCCTCGTGGCAGCAGCTGTACACCCCAGAATCGTTCCTGGACCCAGCCCCAGCCGAGGCTCCTCTCTTGCCAGCTTTTGGTTTTACCCTATGAATGAAGGATTTATTTGAGAGAGTATCCTAGAGCAGTCTCTCCCCCATGTACCTAACCCGCACCTTTTCAGCCTAACAAGTAGTATTCACCTGATTAACATGTCAAACAGTCTGTCTTTAAAGGAAGGTTACCAAGAGATATTACGGAGACCTTTAAATATGGCAGATCATTTCCTCATCATAATGTTAAACAACAAAATTGTCAATTGAAATCTACAGAATGTAAATGGGAGTTCTCTTTCCTTGGAACAGAAGTGGGCTCCTACGTTTTTATTTCACGCTCTAATTGGAATAAAAAAAGCATCCACTCCAGTGTTTTGCTGTGTCCAGATGTTTCTACATTAACAGCTGTTCGAGCAGCTTCGAGTTTTATTTGTGTCAGTGTTTCCTTTCCCCATGCCATTCAGTGCGATGCAATAATCTGCGCTTCCCGTGGTTTATAACTTTTTATCTTTGCAGTTCCAGAACCGGCTAAGCAGTTAGTTTCTCATAGAGTTGCAAGTGCTGCGTCCACAGAAAAGCCAAAAGTTAAGGGAAAGCCATGTGGCCAGTGTGAGACAAAGACTGCCTTGCTGGTAAGTGGGGAAGGGAGAGAAGGCTAGTCCTATTCTGACTCTGGGTAGAGATCGGTAAGAATGGGGGGAGATGGCCAAGCTCGCTGTTCAGTACACTCTGGTGGGTCATTTCAGTATCGAAATAGCGAAGGACACTTTTATCCCCAAAAGACAGCAAGTGTTGGATCTAAAAAACTATTCTAGAAGAATTTAAATGTGTGTGTTATTGGTTAAGCCCTGACCTGCATGTCCCAAGATCTCGTCAGATCTTGGAAGTTAAGCAGAGTTGGCCCTTGTTAGTACTTGGATGGGAGACCACCAGGAAAGTCCTGGGTTGCTACACAGAGGTGGGCAATTGAAAAAAAACAACCCTTGCCTTGATAACCCTACAGGGTCACTGAACGCTGGCTGCGGCTTGACAGCACTTTCTAACCTCACATTTGTTTAATGTTGGTTGTTATAACTGGTGAATTGGGCCTAAGTATGAAGGCTGCGTTCCACCATCTTGTTTAACGGTGACTAAGTAAAAATATGGAGGAACGGGGCTCATATATGCCCGTCTCCCCTCTGTTCCTCCAGGGATGGGGGACAGGGAGTCATGTGGGCATATACGAGCTGGGCAACAAGCTGGAATTGAGCATCCTTGTTCTCACTGAGATTTTAGGAAGAAGAATTGTGATCAGTTCCATGCAGGGTACACTTGCAGGAGTAAGTGGGCCAGTGCCCACAGAGGGGTCTGCTGCTCACAAGAGCATTCTCCATATTCATATAGAGAGAAGAGATTTGTGCCTGCGTGTACCTCTCTTGATCAAGTTGAAGACAGGAATTGCAGATTTGCTTATTGAGTGGTCTTGGACCACAGCAATCAGATTTCTCTGTAGGAATATCACATAAACTAGAATGCTGGTGATCACAGTATAGAGTTACATGGGGGCATATGCAGCACCTAGCATCTGGTTGATGATGTCTTGTTTGGTTAATGAAACAAAACAAAAGTCCAGTCTTTGACACATGTGAGAGAGGTCAGAACTTCTGACCTTTTCCATCATCCATTAAGCTACCCTGGTGTTTCAAATCCTCAGATAGGGAATTTCACCTGATTTATTATACTAGGCCTCTCTCCCCTCAACTCCCTGCCTTTTCATAATTCTCTGTAAAAATGAGGCAAATGATCTTCTTTTCTCCCATTGTATCTGAAGAAGTGAGCTCTGATTCATGAGAATTCATACTTCTCTGTCTGTATTCAGCTTGCTTCCCCAGCATTAATTCACGCAGTAGCTGCATATTAAGAACCAAAAGAAGGGAACCTGTGAATCCTTCCTATCAAGTAGTTTGGCATCCTTTGGCATAAATGGTCTCCAAACACTGCAGACTACTTTGCTTTGTGTTCATCCTCTTGACAAGTGGAAAATCAATTCAACTTGATTATTAGTTTCAAGAACTCTGATGTCTGGATGTTCTTCTATTTACTTGTGTTAATATTCTGCCCCCCACAAGTCAGAAAACTGGTTTCCATGCCATTAAATTATTGTTTCCTCACCTCCTTAAAATTCATGCTAGTTTTATAATTAAGGTCCTCCAGGCAACTATAGATGACAGTGGTCCTCTTTTTGTGTCGACAGTGGTCTGAAAAGTTACAATTAACAAAAGCATCATTGAACACCAGTCGTAGATTGGATTCCGCTTACAGCTGCTGCCTTTCCCCCCTGTTTCAAATGGTTTTGTGGGATGAGCAAGAGAAAAGCAGAAACTCGGTTTGCTTTTACAATTTCATTTCCCCCCCCCCCTTTTCTCAAGGTGTGTTTGGACTGTGGAGAAGACTATTGTCTGAGCTGCTTTGCCAATGTCCACCAGAAGGGGGCACTGAAGCTCCATAGAACGACTTACTTGCAGGTGCGAGTGTTTTTTTTTGTGTGTGTATACAAGGCTCTAGTTTATAACTGTAAGATCTTTTTGTCTAAGAAGGCATGATCGTTTTACAGTTCCGTAAGTTCTTTGAATTGTCTTATGTATAATTTTGATAAAAAATCTGTCATGGCGGGATCATTTATCAGCAGAGTTATTATTTATTCTGAAACGTTTGTAAGTCAGCACAAATGCCGTAGCTGCTTTTAGGATCTGAAGCTAAAACAAATAATTGTCAACATGTTCCGAGACTGAGACAGCTCTGTGTTGCTTGTGGGATGGTGGCAGTGAAGATCTCATCCCAGGGTGGCTCACCCAGAGGTGATCTCTACTACCCCCCCCCCCAGTGGCAGCAGGAAGCTCACATGCCGTGAGGTTGTCACTATATAAATAGTTTTGCAAACCCTTTGCCTGAAGCCAGGTAGCACGGCGGGGCTTCATGTCCGTTTCTGCGAGTCTCCATGTCTGTAACGAAGCCATTAACATCGCAGGGTTGCTTGGCTGTTCCTGTTGGCAGATCGCTTTCTTTCTGCTGGGTTTTGAGCAAACGCTGAGGCTGATCAGCGTGCTTTGGGTAGTATGGGTTTTTCTAACGCTTACTGTTTTCTGCACTGTGTGTCTCCCCTCCCTCCCTTTCTGGCCATGGTGCAAATTTGGTTCCTCAGTAATTGCTCTTCCAATGGGGGTGTGCCTCCTTGTGGATTCTTCCCGCACCACTGCAGTAAACATTTGAAAGCTAGAACCGTGTAGGGTCCTCCTCACCTCATCACTGCCCTTCGCGCTAACGGAGCAATCGTAGGCGAAGAGGGACCGGATGACACCTGAACATACCGCATCATTTTCTAAACATGGTTGCTGTGGCATGGGAAGACTCATATAAGCTTCAGCTTGAGTTGATTTTGGGGTGGGGGAAGTGTGCGGCATTTTCTTCCTCCTTGAATTCTGCATCCTGCTTCGTCAAGTGTGTGCACACCATCTCCCCGTTGGATGTTTGTGGTTTTCTTTCCTTACAGAGGAGTGCCTTGGTCATAACTATGTGCCCATAGTTAGGGATAATAAACTATGTAAGCTGCTCAGAGACCCTGTGGGAGGGGTTCGAGCGGGATATAAGCTGAATGTAAATGATAAATAAATAAATAATGGGTTCTTCTTTATAAAAAAAAAAACCTCAAGGGGAAAAAGTGAGGGTTGTATTGTCACGCAACTTGTCTGATAAACATTTATTTATTTACTTACTTTGTTTATACCCTGCCTTTCCCCCCCAGCGTGGACTCAAAGTGCCTTACCTTGTGCTCCTTGCCTCCGTTTTTTCCCTCTAAACAACCCTTTGTGGTAGGTGAGGCTGCAAGTCTGGAGCTGGCCCAAGGTCACCCAGTGAGCTTCTGTGGTCGAGTGGGTCTCCCAGATCCTAGGCTTAATCTCTAGCCGCTATGCCACACTGGCTCTTGCATCCGTGATACATTGCTGGTTAAATTGTACAAGTCAGAGTACAACCATGAACACTAGCAAGACGCACACCCGCAGATTATACAGCTGAAAGATAACGTCACAGAAGGAAATTGCCTAAGGTGAAACATTGTCATCTTCTGGCGAATAGACAATTGGGTTGTCAATCATATGCAGTTGTTTTTTCCTAGCCCATGTTACACAGAATCCTTGAAGTTTTCCCAAAGAGAGAGAGAAAAACAAAACTCCTGCTGAGTAGCAGGGTTTATCTGATTTCCCTCCTCCTTGCCCCCGTGTCAGTCAGATTTTGTACATATGGAATGATGCGATAAGGGGATGAGTGTAGTGTTTTATATTTAGAAATATTTTAATACATACATTTCTGCACATAGGCAAAGGGAAGATCCAAAAGTGAAAGTTGAGACCTGTATGCTACCTGAGTGCAAGAGAGCATATGCTTAGTGTGTACTGTGTGAGCTTTATAGAAGAGTCCATTTTAACATGTGTGCATATGTATACTTGGAAATTATGAGCACTGCTTGCAGACACTTGGAACATACAACAGAACAGAAGCACTATTATTATGCTTGGCAGCAGTCTGTTTTGACTTCCCTCAGTATTCATCCAGAGATTCTGAAATAAAAGGACTGGCACATTAGTTGCTACTAGGGGTGTGCTGAAAAACAACGGTATTTTTCGGGTTTGGGCATATTGAACCCAAAAAATATTGGTATTTTCTGATATTCCCAAATCCCAATACTGGTATGGTATTCAGATTCAGGATTTTTCAGAAATCCCACATTTTTTTTGGCTCTTTTATACCCTATGGGGACCATTATAGTCAGTGGTCTCCATAGGGTACAATGGAGAATCAGTACGGGGGTATCTGGGGCTTGGGGGGGGTTGTGGTTGAGGCACCAGATTTGCAGCATAGCTGCTGGTGCCTCTCCTCAAACCCCAAGTTTCCAAAAGATTGGATCAGGGGGTCTAATTCTATGGGTCCCCAAAGAAAGTACTCCCATTTTCCATTGGTTTCAATGGAAGAAAAAAAAGTGTTTAAAGGGTTTGCGATCTCTTTAAATGCCTTTTCCAAGCTGCAACTCCATGAGTTAACTCAAGGCATCCAAAGGGTTTGCAGTTCCTTTAAACATCTCCAAATGGTGCGTTCACGCAGGTGTTTAAAGGTACTGCAAGCCCTTTAAACACCCTTTAACTTTGACTATATAGCAGTCCTGTAAAAGTCTAAAATTTCGGTATTTTTCGGGGTCAGCCATTTCAGATAGCTGAAAAATAGCTAAATCTATATCCAGCTGAAATAGTATTTGGAAAATACTGATAAGGTATTTTCGAATATTTTTTCAGCTCTGATTTAGCCGAATTCACACCCCTAGTTTCTACTAACTATCTACACAAGATATAAAGATAAGCACGATGTGAGAAGGGATGTAAACTCGGAAATATCCAGTCCAAATATGTACCTGGCTTCAGTTGGCTTGGGTTTTCTGGTTTGACATTGGATGTGTTGGATTTGCCACACTGGCCTGTGGTTCTGCTGGGATTCTGTGGTTTGGCGTTAGTTCTGTTGGGCTTGTTGATACTGGTTGTGTTGGGAGGCTTTTGGCTAGTGGTTGTTTGCTCTTGTGTGTTCGGCTATTCTTTGCCCTGGACAAGGCTTGGATTTTTTCCCCCTCTAGGAAAAAAATCTCTCCCCCATTGGTTTTAAATTAAGGGTGGGAAGGTACCAGCTGGATATTAGGAAAAACTTTTTTACAGTAAGAGTTGTTCAACAGTGGAATCAGCTGCCTAGGGAGGTGGTGAGCTCCCCCTCCCTGGCAGTCTTCAAGCAGCAGCTGGACAAACACTTGTCAGGGATGCTCCAGGCTGATCCTGCATTGAGCAGGGAGTTGGACTAGATGGCCTTTTTGGCCCCTTCCAAGTCTCTGATTCTATACAATGGAAGATGGCTGGGAGCACCTTCTTCAGGGGCCCATAGAATTGGACTCCTTCGACACCCCTGATCTAAGATGTCTTTCTTCCAATTCCTGTGGATTTTTTGTTTCTCTCTGGAGGTCCAATTCACTTGAAACTTGGGGGGAACTTTAATGGACAGGCAGCACTAACTTCCCTGCAGTTTTGGTGTCATTTGCTTAAACAACTGCCACTCCAGCCCCCTGGAAAGATTCCATCTAGGGAAAAATGAACTCAAATAATTTTGACATTTCTGGGGAAAACCCAAAATACTGAACCAGTACTGGAGAACCAGTAAATCCAGAATACTGATAACTATACCGTATCCGTAATACGGGTGCAAAGAATAACATTCTCCCCCCCCCCCCCCTGCCCATCCTTATATGTGAGAACCAACTAAAAGCTTAACACACATAGTGTCTGTATATTCAGAGCCCAGGTTAAACTAAAGGCTATGAATTAGTTGTTTGAACAGCTACTGCTGGGTGGGATGCAGTAGGAACACTTGCATATGTTACTGTATCCGCTTTGAAGGTTACTTTGTATTACAGATCAGGCAGGTATATCTATTCTATAGAAACATAAAGTTTACCATCTAAGACAAGGTTGTCAAACATGCGGCCCGGGGGCGGATCAGGCCTGCAGAGGGCTTCTATCAGGCCCGCAGTGGAACTGGCTGTCTTCTGCTTCTTCTTCCAGTTCTGTTGCTGCTGTGTCATCGTAGGTTTGCAGCTTACAGATACACACCTGAACAGCATACTCGAGATTGCAACAGCACAGACATTTTGATGCAGTAATTCAGAGCAAGAGGTGTCAGTTATCAGACACTGATTAATAAACAAAATATTGCAAGAGTGTTAATGTTTTAAGCATGTTTTTATTTCAAGTAAAAAATAACCCTTTGCGTTTGTGTCCTTTATAAAGTTTGTATCTCTGCTACCTGGCATTACATGTTATGACACACATGGCCCGGCCCAACAAGGTCTCATTTATATCAGATCCGGCCCTCATAACAAATGAGTTTGACACCCCTGATCTAAGATGTCTTTCTTCCAATTCTTGTGGATTTTTTGTTTCTCTCTGGAGGACAGTGGGCTCACGTCTACCAGTTAAACTACCCACACACTTGGTTAGATAGGAATGGTGTCTAATTTGCCCTATTTGGGCAAATTGATTGAGAGGGTGGTGGCGGCACAGCTTCAGAGCTTTCTGGATGACGCTTCTGTCCTGGATCCACTCCAGTCCGGTTTTCACCCTGGCCATGGGACAGAGACAGCGCCCTTACTGTTTGCCCTTGCTGACGACCTCCGGAGGCATCTGGATCGAGGCGGTGTGGCGGCACTGTTGTTGTTAGATCTGTCAGCCACGTTTGATACGGTCGACTACCAGTTGCTGACCCACCATCTCGCCGATGTGGGGATACAGGGGCTCGCTCTTCAATGGCTTGCCTCTTTTCTCCAAGGTCGGGGACAGAAGGTGGTGATAGGGGAACAGCAGTCCTGGAGGCACCCATTTGAGTGTGTTCCTCAGGGGGTGGTGCTTTCCCCGATGTTTAACATCTATATGCGCCCCCT